TGGACCACAGAATGATTTCTGTACCCTTCCTCTAGGGCACTGAGCATGAACAGAAGACCCAGGATCAGAGCACTCATGTAACATTCATTAATTTTTGAACCTTTGCTCTGCACAGCAATCCACAGGACACCATTCTGCAGTACACGAGTATTGAGAGAGTTTGGAGAACAGCATAAGCAGTTCCATAGAACTTAGGGGGCAAAAAGCACTGCGTTGGTGAAGCTGTCACATCTTGTAGGGTGGATTCTATTACCTCCTTATACAATGTCCCTCATAGCTATACAAGGTGATAGCAGTCAGCTGTGAACTAACTCACACAACTATAAAACACTCATTTGCCATCTGCTAGTCTAAAGAACTTACAATAGTAAAATACACCCTATGCAGGAATTCAGCTTCTTACTTCACAGAGCAGAAACCTCTTTACGTCCATTTTTCTATGAAAGAATAAACTAAGGTATCTCTTCCTTTACCCCTTTGCAGATTATTGAAATGTCTTCTAGAGTTAGGGTTGTATCAGAGTGCATTTTTGCAAAACTACATGCCTCCACAATTTGCAGGATTCAGCAAGTCAAAACCGTAATAAAGTTTACTTTTATAAGTGCGATTATGTGAATGTTTACTAGAATAATGCCATTTAAAAATATAGTGTTTTAATACAACAATCTCTTCTTACAGACAAAAAAAATAGTAGTTGAACAAGTATGTTTTAAAAGCAATGAGAACTGAGGAGATAAAGTCCTACCCAGCAGAACACTCACTTCTTTGCAATTCAGGCATTTCACACGTAAGAATACAGAGTTGTATAACTACATCATGATTGTAAGTGTCCTGAGCATAGTTTCTTCTTTTGTGAACCTTCATAAGAGAAGTAATGTCAGCTCAAAGCATTAAAGAGGCATTAAAGTATATTATTCCCAAAATATATCCACAGTTAAGTTGAATAGGGACAAAGCCTGAGCATCTTGTAGGGGGAATTATTTTTTAAATGAACACCATAAGTGGAAGGAAGGATTTTTAACCAGGGTTATTTTCTTTTTCTTTCATTAGGTAGTAAAAGAGTTGGCATAACCTATGTTTGGTTTTATGTTTTCAAGAAAAAACACTAAAATTACAATTACTTAAATGAAAAGCAAGTATTCATTAATCCCTAATCAAAGCAGAAAGATTGATCAAGTTGAACAATACCAAGTAGGACAATCTTTGTATTGGCCTATTTTGATTACATGGTTAAAAAAAAAACCACAACAGGCATGCTGATCAATATCACATGTATCAATGATACTACTGTGATTAAAACAGAAGTTAATGCATATATAGTGAAAAAATGAGTAAAACAGCTTATGTTTTGTAAACTTATTTGGGGACAAATTTGCAACAGTGATTCCAGCTTTTACTGAATACATTAAGACAGCTGTCACAAGGGCCTTTTCCCTTTGGCTGAAATGCATTTTAAAAAAGCATGTTATGATCTGATAATGTAAAGCTACAGGCATATGCACATACATACATCTCAGCGTGCACACACACGTTATAATATATACACATATACACACACAGAGTAGACATATGGTGATACATGCTGTAAAATATTACCAGCATCAGAGCGATGTCCTACCACTGTTCCCAGCTAAAGTCATCTCCTCTACCAAACACAAGAAAAAAGCCTAAAATAGTAAGGAAAATGACTGCATTGCCAGCCAGCACGAGACCACAGGCTCCCCATTTGATCTGAAATGAAACAATCAAAGCAGTTCTTATAAGATAGGTTTAGGCCAGTTATTTATATGCATTAGATAAACTAAACAAAATACTACAGAAAGGTGCTAAAAGCAAAAAGAAAAAAGACAAACAATAAATAATTCAATTTATGTGACTAATTATTCAATTAGCAACCACTCATACTACTAATACAACACTTCAATACACAGGCTAATAATGCTATGTTTTAGAACAAAATAATTACCTTGCCATACAAATCACTAAAACATACCTAAGCCATAGAAAAATCTGGTGAAACTAGTGCTCCCCTTTAATTGGTACGCAACAAAATAAAAGATTGCCCTTCAAATAAATGCCAGTAACAAGCATGGAAAACTGTACGCAGTCTTAAAGGTAAATAGCTTTCTTTAAAGATCTGCCCAACTGTGGTTACTCAAATAAACGACATTTACTCTTAAAAGATATAGCTATGAATTAGAGTTCCCCCTCGTGGTCACTTCTGGTTCTGCCTACTGTCAGGTCCACAACTTAAAAACAAAACTGCAGTGTCAGGGAAATTGTGCATTACAAAGAAATTAAAACTAAGCACACAAGTTTTAAGCAAAACTGAAAGACTGAAGGGGAAAAACAACGCAACACATAAAACATCATTGGGAGACAAGATGAAAGAGATCTTTGGCTTGCAAAACAAATGTGACAAAATCTCACCACTGAAGAGCAGTTCAGAAAGCAAAGAGAAAAGAAGCTAGCAGAATTTCCTCAGACTTTGAGGGGACAAAGCATGAGCTTGGGAAATGCTTTGAAAACCAGAAGGGCAGCTCTGGAAGTTTGGCCTTTTATCTTTTAACTGATAATGCACTCCAGTCACCAAGTTTTCAGCATCCTAAATGGAGAAAGCAGACATTCTGAGATAAAAATAAGGAAGGTGGCGCAAGAAGCGGTGCAAAAGTTGATGAGACAGAGAGGCATGAGATGTAAGAGGAGATAATATCTTGTACTGGACCAAAACAAAGCTGGAAAAAAAACCAGCTAAAAACTTTTCAGTCATGCAAATCCTTTGTTCAGGTCAAAAAGCAGTATTAACAGACAAAATTTCAGCAGAGTGATTATTTTCATCAGAATCTAGAAACGTCACAGTAGTGAAATTAAAGACAGGATTCACAAACCGCAACAGTGCGCTTAAAAGATTATATTCAGTAACTGGTGCCTTACAATAAAAATTAGCGAGCAGAACTTACCGCTTCAACCCGTGCAAGGATTATAGGAAATCCAAAGGCAGAAACAACAATTCCAGTTGTGAAGAAATATGCCAATTCCCTGCAGGCACTGCTGGCTGCATCACTGTCATCACTTACTCTTTTTGCAATGAAGTGGGGAATGGGGCAGATGAAGTAAAATATTAAGACAAACAGAGGCCAGTATACACTGGGGAGGGGGGAAAAAGGAAATACACAATCAGTTTAGATGGATGCTTCAATAAAAAGTATCTTCTGTTTAGAAAAAGTATTTGCAATAGCTGTAATCCTACTTTATGGTCTGAAAAGTGGATTACGTGATTTAACCACACGCTTTCACCCAAAGGGGCAATCCCACCTCATTTTCCCTGCATACTGGCACAAGCACTCATACAGCCTCGTGCAGAGCAGGATCCACTCCCTCACACAACCACGCCTTAATTTATTTAAATTTGCACCACCTCGGTGATTCAACTCACACCACCGCCTCACAAAAACAAGTCACCCCACACAGGGCACAGGAAATGCACGCAAGCGGGACGGAAACCAAGAGCTTTCCCAAATTAGAGGGGTCCTGGAGTATCAACAAGCCGACTGTGAAGGCACACCCTTGCACGCTCATCTCCTTGGGAGTGCTCCCATTAGCTTCACGTGGATTTTTAAGTGTAACAGACATCTCAGTTGGAGTCTTGTGATAGGAGGATTGTTTAAAGAAACAGGGAAGTAAGGGAAAGAATCGTCCGAGGTTAAAAATGACTGTTTAGCAAGATGGCACCGCTTTTTCTGAGAAAGTATAGAGCTGTTTTCAGTCTTTTTTTAATGGAAACGCAAGTACTGGCTAAGGAGGTGGTATTTAATCCCAACAAACCGCCATGTGCCAAGAGCCAAAAAGCAGCTAGAAGATAACGAGAGCCAAACTGCGCCATTAAATGAGATTAACACCTCAATTAACATATATAAAGAGGGGGAAGTTTTGGAAACGAAGCCGGCCCGCTCACCCGTAGTACTCCAGGGCGCAGCCCAGCATCAGGAACGTCAGCCCGATGGCTCCGCTGAAGGACAGCGCCACGAGAGCTGCAACGGCACAAGGCAGGCGGTGAGGCGGAAGCCGCCTCACCGGTTACCGGTTACCCCTCCCCGCGACACCCGCCCCCCCGCTGAGGCG